TAAGGCCTATATGAATTTTTTACTATAAATTTCTGTTAACTTACACAATCTCAAAACAATCTCTGCTCGGGCATTTCCAAGTTTATTTTCACCGATGCAATAGTACGTGCCCATGTCCTGATTTTTGATATCCACCAGGTAGAGTGTTCCATTAGGGTTGTTATACAAGTGCTCTGGGAGGGGTTTCGTCATCGTGCTATTAATAACGTGCTCCCATGTTATAGAGGGTTTGGGGACACCCCACAGCGTACAGCTCATTGTCACATTTTCCCCAAGATTCGCCAGTATATCTGTACTCTGCGCGGGACGAATTGACACTTTCTCTAAAAATAAAAAAAATTAAAAATTATAAGTTTAAATTTGTTCTGATGCTTATTCAATAATAGAATTCATATTGTTATTAAGCTTGTCCACACTAACAAGTAACTGCCAAATGCCCATATATGGACATAGCATGATATCATCATGCCTATATTTGGGAACCTCACACATGACACATCAAATTTAATAGTGTGGACAAAATTATTGTTGTGTTGCCCAAGTGCAGTGATATTTGCTAATCACATTGGGTAAGCAGGGTTTGTAGGTCATCTGAAGTAAATTCACAGCAGATGTTTAATTACTTGTGCACATTACTTCTGGCAAGCACACACACAACGGTCACACATCAGTTGACCAATATAGTAAAATCAAGTTGATCCGGCCTCACCTCAAATCAAATGACCCGTAAATGGTGCACTTCTAAGAGCAATTCTTATAATATTATTATTATTATTTATCTTGTTCTAAAAAGAAATTATTTCCGATATAGAATTTATTTGATTTAACACACTTTATATCAAAGTTAAAGCTGGGCGCGGGTGTAAGGACCCACTCGACCCCTCCTCCTACTTATTGTTATTATTATTATGAGTGGGTTATAATAATAAAAATGACCATTGAGTTTTCATTGGAATAGGGATTCACAATTTCTGCATCCACCTCCCCCAATCTGTTTAACAGCCCTCGCCTCCACAAGGCAAAATATGGCCTTTTGACAGTTGAGGATGCTCTCCACCCCATGGTGACAAATTAGTTCCAATGAATGGGTTAAAATACTAAAAATGGCTATTGTTTTCACTGTAATTGGGATTCTCAATTTCCACCGCCCCCTCCCCAAGGCCGTTTCGCCCCTCCACCAGGGCAAAACCAGTCTACACAAATAAATAGGCAGTAAAGTTCAGTGGAAATTACACGTTCATTGAAATTATAAATAACAGCAGCAACACCAAATATATCATGTGATTTGGCATTCCTGCCAATAATGGGTGCATTTACATTAGCCTTGTAAGAGACCTACTTCAACACATGAATATTATCTTTATAACCATTCTTGATTATCCTAATTATTTTGTTTATTTCAATAACTAATTGGCTTCCAACTGACAAAAAAACAATTTCCTTGCCAATTACAGGCATTCAAATAATGCCGTTTATATAGCGTTAAATTTTGGCAGTAAACAATGAAAATCACTTTACATATTCCTACTGAAAATTATATGTCTATTGCAAATGATACAGCATGACAGATTTAAATAATTATGTAATTGTGGAAATTACAATCCAAACGGTTCTTCTCAGAACCAAATGACATCAATTGAGATTTTTTAGCATATGCCACATGGTGTACCGTATCACCGCTCTCGAAATGAAACCCAATTTTTTTCGCTAAGTGCCACTCTCTAATAAAAGCTGCGGCGCTTATTTGAGAGGATATATATTACCTGTGTGTATTGAAACACTCTGAGAAACGGGGTTTTAAATACATTGTATACAGTGTAAAAATGAATAAATAACACAATGAAGACACACGCATTTCTTTATAAACAATTATTTACGATGACGTAGGACCTATGATAGAATTACAGAACTACGGGAATATGTGATAGTAGGTAACATGGAAACAGGCATGAAAAGCACCACGCCAATATTTTTCTCAAATATGTGCCGCTCTCAAATAAGCGCCGCACTCACGCATTTGTAGTACATAATATATAACATAATAATAATAATAATAATGATAATAATAATATATTTAATTATTGATATTAACAATGACAACAATCTCTTCATACAACATTCATTGCATTAACTACCTCTAATAATCCAAAAATAAATAAAATAAAAATAAAGAAAGTAGAAACATTGTAATTTAGGCATTAAAATTTAATTCACAATACAATGGAATGTCAGTCCTTAGTTAAAAGATATGGCTCAGGCGTGGCTCCGCGTCAAACAACGGGAAGCTCGACATGAGTCTTTTAAAACCCTACGGCATGTTTCCAATCAGCTTTTCCTGTTGGCTCACCACTAACGACGTGACCGCGTAGAATCATGGGAAAAAAATTGATTGACGTGTACAAACACCACAGGTTCCCAGACACTTCTTGGAATAGACTTAACGTGGTTGTACCATTACAAAGTATGACTTAATTGACAATCCTCATATTTATTTTAAACATTATAATATTTTCAACTTAGAGTATCTTATGATTTTTTTTTAGGAATATAAATTTTTTTTTTTTAATTTATTTATTTTTTTTTGACAGCATGGAAAAGAGAGGAAATTATATGAAAAATGGCAGGAAATATGATGAGTCAAGACGAACAAGAATTGAACTCAAAACAGATTTCAGTGAGTGATATGTGTCTTACAAGCAGCAAGTCATTAAAAATTTAAATCAATCACATAAATTTTTATGTATTCTTGAATGAATGTGTAGAAGAGAAAGTGAGAAAGGGGTCAAAGTGCAAACTTGTGTTAAGCCCTGTCCAGATTTGAACAAGACATGCCTAAATATGGTCATGATGACATCACATCATGACCATATATAGGCACATCATGACTATGTATGGGCATACAACATTTCTTTTGAAAAAGAAAATTTGATAATTTTCACAGATTGTCCGAACCAAAATCTTGTAACTTTAGGATCAGCTTTTGTATTTTTATTATTTTTTTTAATTTCTTGTACAAGATAAAAAAAAATACCCTAGTACTCCAACCTTTTCATGATGGGTTTATTGTACACACAGTATATTCCATAGTATAAAGATTAAGGCTGGTGCTGCTTGTCCAAATTATTCCTTGGAAGCTAATTACAGCAGTCATGGGCATAGGCTGGGGGGAGGGGGTTGTGCATGCACTTCCCCTCCCCTTCCCTCCCTTATGGCAGCAAATTAGTTTCACTGAGTTAAAATACTAAAAATTACAATTATTTATGTTTTCACCCCCCCTCCACAAACTGGATAAAACCAGCCAAAGCCCCTGGTCGCAACATGTACAGAAGTACAGAAACAAAATATGACTGTGAGTGAGATACCAAAATATCATCATGACCTATACAGAAAGTTTGTAAAATTTTGATATGGTAAAAATGTTACTTACAGTAAACGATTTAGTATATAGGTTTTATGACATTTCTTTAAAAAAAAATAAATACAGGATCATATTTAAGATAATAAGGAAATGTTAGTGAAAGTTTTGGTTCACTTTCAATGAAATTTAAATACCATTATTTGAACTGACATGATATTGGCCTCTCATGAAACAAAAAAAAATTCAAAACCTTCCGAATTAAGTTTGGATAATTGATAGAAAGGGCCAAAACGACTCAGGACCAAAACGACCCAAATTGACTTTAGCATTAGCTATTATCATAAATAGTAATCAATTATGGTGAAATACGGTACCTAGGATGTTAATATCAGCCGAAGTTTCTGCATCACCCTCACGATTCTCGGCAATACAAGTGTACCTTCCACTGTCCTGTGCTGATGTAATGCGACTCCGTATAATGTTAGACACAACCACATTGCCCTCTTGTTGGGGCATGCTGCCTGTACTTATGGGTATTCCATCCTTTTGCCACATGATCTTTGGTGGTGGTATGCCCTCGGCTGAACAGCTGAGGTTGAACTTCTGCCGTTCACTGGTTTTTGCAATTTCCATACTCTCTAGCTGAGTGATAATACGGGGTGGTATGCTTTCTGTTGTATCACAAAATAAAACAGATAATACAATGTAAAGAAAAGTATAATACAACATAACTGGAAGATAATTAATTCCACTAAGTAGATTAAAATAGACAGAAAGTACAGTAGTATCACAAAATAAAGTCAATACAAAATATTAATCAGAGATGTAGTCATGGTGGGCAGAGGTGGGCCAGGTCACCCAGCATTCAAGTTTCCCACCCAGTCTAAAGTTAATTTTATGGCCCTTCGCCCACCTTTATTCTTATTATTTAGAACAGTTCACCAATGTTAATACACATCCACCCTTAAAATATCTACCACCCACCTTCACTAATTTTCTACAAGGATACCCCATGAATAACAAAAGTATAATACAACTTCATTAGAAGAAAATAAATTGTACTAAGGAGATTAAAATACCAAAAATGACCATTAACTTTTCAGTGAATATAAATTTAGTTCTCAATTTTTCACAAACAGGGCCCCCCCCCCACACCCACCAGGCAAAAACCAACCTACGCCCCTACTACTATCTATCAATTTATCATTATGCCTATACCAAACTTCCACATATTTTTCACTAGAGCATCCTTCCCTTAATCAATCTGACTTCCTACAAATAATTAGTCTTGGCTGTCTGAACAACTCTGTTCAGCTTAAATGACAAATTTACTGAAGCGGTCACATATACGCTATTACTCTTCCTCACGCTACTGGAATTTTCTAAACCAGACGGCGGATTCTCTCACCAACTCGAATAACTAATAACATGCGTAAATGCCTTTTTGGACAAGTGTAGGACAGGACAAGGTCAAACGATGTGACCTGTGTATACATTCAACACAACTTTCATTATCAGTGTAATATCTCCTGTCCTCAAATTTACATACAAACTAAGCATTGACAGAGAATACCAGAACAATTTTTGAGATTGGAGAAGGGGGGATATTATTCGTTGAAAGCAAAGTTTGATAAAATTAATAAACAATTATTAAGAAAATAATATTTTAATTTGTGTTATAATATAATAATAATGTACAGTTATTTATATAGCGCCTTTCTTTGCAGATACGAAGCGCTGCTGTAATCTGATCAAGAGCAGGCAACTCTACAAGGTAACCATTTGGGGTAAAGAGAAGCAATGTAGATAAAGTGTCTTTCTCAATGACTCAAGCAAAATACACAGCGAATGATTGAAACCCCGACCTCAAGGTTGGGAACCAAACCGTTCCCGCTGCGGTAAACCTCTTCTACAAATGTTGGTCCTTAACAAGACATTATTTCAATTTCCATCCTTTGATTTTCAACACACTTGTTTAATGGGCAACACAGTGGCTATTGTCTTATTGGATATGTTATTGTTCTTAATACAATTCATACATCCATCCAATTAAAATTAGGAATTCTTTTAAGACTGGTGTAACAATAGCCACTAATATATTATATTTCTCCAACTTACCTATTACCACTATATCCACCGAAGTATTAGCAGTTTTCATATGGCCGTGGTTCCATTTCTTGTCAGCTGTGCATATAAACTTTCCACTAAATGATAATTCTACCGATTTAATCGTGAGGATGGAAATCTCTCTGAGACCATCCTGTTGCGACTCAATCTGAGCATTCCTACTCGATTTGATAGGAATTGTCTGGTTGCCCAATGTCACCATACTCCATTTGAGGTTCGTAAAGGCGTATATACTGGCCTGGCAGGTCACAACCAGTTTGTCCCCGTTGACTGGTGACAATGGAGATGCTGTCACATCAAGACCCCCAGTAACATCTGAAATGCACGCATACCGCAATTTTAAAATTAAATTACAATTATCAACTTTTAATATATTTATGAAGAGTGTCCATATTTTTTTATAAATTAATTTTATGTTTCCTTGCGAGCTAGACTTTAAAGCAAGTGCCCAAGGATTTATTTTGTTCCTTTATATTCATTTGGAATAAAATGGTTAAAATAAATACCGTATATAAAAGATAGTTTCTCTATTTTATATTTACTACCTTATAGTATATACCTCAAGTATAAGCCTACCCTCTACTTTACACCCAAATTTATGTACCAGCCTTTCTCGAGCAAAAGCCCAGGGTATAATTTCAATGAGTAGTGTATGCCCCATTCAGACCAGCATCGCATTGTGATCAGTTGTAGGAAATGCAATACCCAACTGCCAAGTAAAATCATGTGTGAAAGTTCATCACTAATAGTAGTCGATAATCTATATCACTCCCGATTACCAAGGAATCTGATTGCAACAAATCACAACGAATTCCACGGGCATTGTTCGGCTGATGTCAGTCAACATAAGCCTTGCCACCGGAGGCCTAGCCCCTAGAATGTAAAGTTTTTTTCGTGTTGGTCTGAATGTGTTGCGATCGGGTGTAATCAGTTTTGGATTACCACCGATTACCACCGTGTACGTCGCAACCGATCGCAACAGAGTGTAGTCTGAATAGGGTATTAACTGACTTTTACAAACAACTGAGCGAACCCAATCAGATGTGAGCTCGCGTCCCTGGCAGAAAAAGTGTTAAACTATTGAAATGTTGACTCACCAGTTATAAGGAAGTTTACCGATTGACTTGTATTGAAGCTTCTATCTTTCTCTACCATTTCTTCAGCGACCGCTATACATGTGTAGTTTCTCTCAATCTGCGCATTCTTCACGTGTAGAATCTGCTTACTGAGTGACGATTCCTCAACATAATGCGTAGTCGTGATATCGGTACCGACTCTATGCCAGGTAGCTCCATCGCTATACGCCCAGTATACGTCAGGAGCTGGCAGACCTTTGCCAACACAGGTCAATGCGTAGTCGACCCCCAATTGAAATAATGAAGGCTCCCTAGCAGGTGGAGGCTCTGACTTTATCTCTATAGTTAGTTTGACTGAAAGAAAAATTAATACTCATACAAACACGAACAATAATACACTGATACTGAATGAACCTTAAAACCACTCGGCATAATAGAATCACAGTAATTTTTGGTTCTTTTCTGTTGTGCCTTAGCCACTACTGAAGTGGGATATGTGTGATTTATATTATTATTATTATTATTATTATTATTATTATTATTACCATTATTATTATCATTATTATAGTTTGTATTGCAAACTTCAAATTGGTATGTAAATCACTTTGTTAATTAAGTATTAACTTTGTCTCGGCGTCTTTGCTTAGGTACCCAAAAATATTAATTTATAATTTCAATTAGTATACTGTAATTGGAATTTGTGAAATATAATTATTAATGCTAATTTATATTTCTTGTTGCACAGAGATATTACCTACATTGTTTGCTTTCTATCAAACTTACCATTACATATTCATTGATGTGAAGTAAATATTTGTACTAATTAACTTGTCAAAAAAATTGTTTTCAAAATTCCAAAACAAGTGTTCTTATAAAAACAATGATAATAAAGATGCTATGACCTAGATAACTTGATTACAATACTTTATTCTGATAATCTAATTGTCAAAGATTGCGGAATCACCATTGGCTGGCTTGCTTAGGACAAAGAATATTAAGGATACAAGCTTAATTCACATTACACGCTGCCTGTTAGAAGTCTTTGTACCAGGGTCATATCCTTAGTGGCCTATTTCCTGTACACTAATTGGCGTTCACTCCTCCAAATTTTGTTTACTAATTTACAGAAACTAGACAAATGCTATTGTTGATTATTAATAGGCCTGTACTATTAGCCTTAATATGAATCTGCTTTGTGATTCCCAGGCTTTCGTAAGCATTATTTACTATAACAACTACCCTACACCGATATGATGTGGTTGATAAAGACTGAATGTATTTTCACAAATACAATTCACAAGGTTGTTGGGTTCACATCAACTTTTCACTTTTGACTTCACAGCAGTGGCCTATCAAGGGGAAGGGAGCCAATCCCCTCCACCACTGCAAATAATGCTCAAGTAATTTTAGCTACTAGCTAAAAATTGCCTAATATCATCTTATTTTTGCGAGCTAGCCCCCCCCCCCCAACCAACCATCAAGGCTCCATGCCCACCTCACTTTCTCGTGCCCATCATCACTCCTTCAAGACTCCTAGATACCCCACTGCTTCACATGGGCTTGTCTTTGGATCCTACCAGTAACACTTGATTGCAACGTGGCCTCATTGCAGATTAAAACATTTATGTCTTGGCTACTGTTATCAAGAATATTTATCCAATTTTAGTCAAATCTAAACTCCAGTCACACACCTGCCAACTCTGACGCATAATGCGTGAGCCTCAAGCATGTGCATCCATTTTTTCCTTCTGGCACCTACGTTGTATTATCTCACGCATTATAAAAATAATAAAATATAAAGAACGAGCTGATTATACCCTAAAATTCGTAAAAATGAAGTGAATCCATCATTAAGATGTGAATACAGGCCATATGAACAAAGCTATACAACTGTAATCAGCAGTAGTTCCACCACTACAATTAAAACAAATAAAATAGAGGGTGCTCTATTTCGTGATTATTACATAGAGGGTGTTCTATTTCGTGATTATTACATACGAGGGTGTAAACATTTTTTTTGTCTTACTCATCCAACACCAACAAAGAAAAACAGGTGATCTTACCCGATACTTCAACATCAAATGTTTCATTGACAGATGCATAGTGATTTTGGCCAACGAGCATATAGCGCCCTCTATGAGCTTCTTTAACATTCCGTATCAAAAGTCGTCTGATGTCCCCCTGCACACGCGGTTGGTACATATCAATGTCGGCAGCCGTTATCAGCTCACCGTCTTTGTACCATTTGTACTCCGCAGCCGGATAAGATTTGGTGATGAACGACATACGGAACTTCTCTTGACCTTTGGCCACTGTGAGAGGGTTCACCTGTCGCATCTTTTTTATTGACACATAACCACTTTCTGTTTGGAGGAAAATGGAAGAATCTATAATAAATTCTATCTAGTAGATTTGGGACATTTGAAAACAGTCCATCCTAAAGCATTTTATTTTATTTGGCACTAACACACACAGTAAATATTAAGCTAAAAACACACAATTTTGACTTCACACAAATTAATATGCATTAACAAAAACATGCACTAATTCAATTAAAGCAGATACAAAATTAAGAATATAATTGCACAATTAGACCTATATAAGATAATATAAGTAATGTACTATAGTTAAAATTTGTTTGAAAATAATGTTAATTTGAAGATTTTTCTCTTATCTAGCACTTAATATAATGAAAACTTGCTGAAATTGTTATACATAACATGCTTTGTTTTATATATACTTATAATACAAATAGTATACAATGTTAGTTTTTAAATTATAATAAATTACATAATATAATAATATATATTATGTATAATAGTAATACTATACATAAAAATACATCAGGCCCATAGCTAAGCTCTTCCAAGAACTGGGGAGGTGGGAGGGCAAGCATGCAGTACAGGGACTACAAGGAGTATGCACACCATTTCAGAAGGGGCTAAGAGAAAATATTATTTTATGTGTAAATCAAGTGCACTGAAAATGGATTTTTCCCTTCCCTTGAGTACGTGTGGAGAAGGGGAGTTCGCTATCAAAGACGGGGTTTGGTGAAAATGGGGTTTGCCTGGATGATAAAAAAAAAAACCCTGGCTACAGTAATTATAAGTTCATTGTGAGTAGTTTTGCACATAGAGTATAGTAGTAGACTTATGTGATATAAATAATGTAAATATAATGTGTAATAATAAAAACAAATCATACATTGAAAGAAAAATGACTAATAAGAATGATAAACAATGATGAGAATAAACATATACAAGCAGTAAAAATGATAACAAAACAATGAGAAATATTATTAAAATAAGCAAGTAAAAAGTAAAATCCTAAAAACGAAGCACAGTATTTACTTTTGAGAACAGATAAAGAATTAGGTAGGCCCATCCTCTTGATTGAAACATACCCAACTTCTATACAAAAAAAAAACCAAATAAAAGCAAAAATGAAACAGAAAGAAAAACAAATGTTCTGACCAGTGGTTAATATGGAATATTAGTAAACCAACAATAAAAATATTCACTCACCCAACACCTCAATATTTACAGACTCGTTGCGTTCCCCTTTTCGGTTACGTGCAGTACACATATATTCCCCGCTATCTTGCACTGTCGCCTGCCTCACGGTAAGAGTGACTATCAACTTCCGGAACGCTCGTTTTCGATCCCGCATATTTTCAACTTTTTCTTGATGTTGTTTTAAGATTTGGATACGACTAGATTCACCCTTTTTGAATAGAAAAGATAAAAAATGTTCAGTACAACCATGGTTCTTGACCAGGGTTAGGCATAAAAATGGTTGAAAGTGAATTTTCGATTTAACACCGAAGGCCGCAACCAAACTTTGTTTCCAGTGTTCTTCCTAAATCCTTCCTGAACTGCTTTTACACCATTTATTCTAAGTTTTATTTTTACTTTTTACATATGATCGGTGTCGGGCCATAAAAAACTAGGTGTTTTCTAGCCAATGTTGCTTGGCGGGCTGGTTTTTAATTCATTTTTGCGGGCCGCAAAAAAAATAGCTGGCGGGCCGCATGCAGCCCGTGGGTCGCACTTTGCCCACCTGTGTTCTAGACCCAGAACCACGGTCCAAAAACGAACTGCTACATTCAAAACATGGACAGCAAAATATCACAAATTTTACACAATTTAAATCAATCAAATGGTACTTTCTCTGCCTCCTCTCTATCAAACGTGTACTTCTCTCCACCCCCTCCAGTGTATGCCCATGTGGTAAATTTTCCTCACTCTTACCTCTGTACCCTTAGCTGGATAATAAAAGTCCAGATTGTGAGTTGTGCTCAAGGGGACCTGAATTGTACAATTGACCACAAACTCTTCGCCTTGGATCAGCTCACTTTTACTTGCACGCACAGATGGGTCTGGGATAGGTGCATGAGCTATAAAAAAAAAACAGGCAGATACATTAAACCATAAAAGAAAGAAAAGAAAAGAACATAAAGGAAACGAAAAGAAAGAAAAAGAAAAGAAAGGAAAACTTGAGTTTTATTTATGTGTATGTTTAATTTCCTTAAAATCGCTACAGTGTTTCCATTGTTGTAGTGCGTAGCTCCCCGAATTGACTGACCAATCGGCATCACCAAAAGCTGTTGGTGATAGCATGTAGTGATTGTATGGGGAAACCAAGCTTTAGGTTAAAATTTTGATGGGGAAAGTTTATCCCCCCATAAAAAAAATTATACAGTATCTCATCAATAGTTATTCATCATGTTACAATTACATTTTTAACATGATGAATTTGGTAATTGTTTGTATAGGAATTGAGGTAGATTTTTTAAAGACATCACATCTCACCTTCAAAATGAGCCCATATCATCGTTTTCCCGTAGTACAACACACCTTTATGATGGAAAACCGCAATACAATATAAAACCTCAGTAAACATAGGTTCTCCACTGGCACCGATGAATCCAACTTGAGGATCATACCGGAGCTTCTCGTTGATCTCAAACTTATGTGAACTGAACGCAGGTTCAAGGGTCACAGAGATATTGGGATTGCTGACACGACATGGAATAATGAACTGTTCGTCCGGATAGACAAAGATCGGTTTCGATTGCACGGGCAGAAACAATGTATCATCTACAAAGGAACAGAATTTAGTTGTAGTATACTTTTAACACCATAATTATTTGAGAAAACATTTATGGACGGCAGAATTAAGGAAGTAGAGGACGATTAAGGAAACATTGAGAGAAGGACATTGAAAAACTACAGAACATCAGTGTATTTCTGGCGCGGATACACGATTTGGCGGAAGGGGTGCATGAGAGTCGACACCACCTCAGCCCCAACATGGTTGGTGCTGAGGTATGAACATTTTGAGAATATGGACCTCTAGCTGCCCTGAAATTGCACTATCGTACCTAAAAAATCTTACCGGTAATTCATATCAACAATAAAATACAACACTTATTTTTCTTAATACAATTTAGGGGGTGCAGTCGCACCATCTGCACCCCCTGCATCCGCCCCCAGTAGTTGAAGCAGGGAAAATGGCAACAGTGTAGCTACGTCCAACAAAGGATATGCAGTACTCCTACTGCTACTACTATTATACTTTTCACAGAATAATTTAAGGGGGTAAATTATTGAGGAGAAAAAAAATGGGGAAAAAATTGATTTTGAATAGTATATGAGTGCAATTGCCAGCTTTTGGACAGGTATTGTATTATACTCGCGTTCCAGCGAAAGTGCAAGTCCCTTTGACACTTCTTCTTCTTCTTGTCTAAAAAGTCAAAACAAAAATTGTGCATTGAAGAATGAACTTACTTCTTGCTTGCGTGACGTAGACGTAAACTGTATCCGCGGTCATATTGCTGATGTACGATGGCAGATCACCTTCCATGTATTTGTTGTACATGCAACTGTATCGTCCCGTGTCTGTAAACGACATGTTGCGAACAGTCAGGAATGCATTATACTGGGTGCTCCCATCCTCCTTAAGGGTTCGGTTATGTGATATATCCAATCTTTGCTTCAACGGTATGTATCCCTGTTGGTCTGGCGGAAAAATCCAACCCATGAAAAGAGCACCCTCACATTGCAGATTTAAATTACTCCCTGTTGGTATAACAATTTCTTCGGTGTTGGAGAACAGATGAGGTGGATCAGTTTTTGCAGCATTTACATCTAAATATTTAAAAAAAAAGTCTGTTATCCTGGAACTGCTGTACAGTATGTAACAGTGTTGGGAACAAGTCGATTGTAACAAAAATCTTTTTTATAAACTGATTGCTTGTTCTATTGGTTTATTTTTCAGACACTGATTTTTCTTTAACAGCTTTGTTTCATATTACTTTTTCACTTTGATTATGCTCTTGTATTTTGTTTTCTAAGTTTTATTTTAAAATTTAAAAATGGCAACACGGTTTTGTAGAATAGCAGCTTCTGGTTGTGACAAGCTTCCACATCAAAATAATGTTAGAATAATAATAATAATAACAATAATAACAACAATAACAATAATAATAATAATAATAAATAATCAACAAAAATTTAAAATGTGTTCAAATTATTAGTATAAAATACTCTAATAATAATATATTTCAGATATTTAAAGAAAAGAAAAATAAATAAAAAATAATAATAATGAGTTTCTGTGAATAAATAAAACTATTATTATTATTATTATTATTATTATTATTATTATTATTATTATTTAATAACAGTTTTATTTATTCACAAACTCATTTCAGTCTTTTTACAAGATTGGTCTTCTAATACAGTAGGCTTAACTACTACAACAAACAAATGATTTGACAGCAAAAGAAAAACAAAAAATACAGGTAACTGTAAACAAAAAAAAATCATCTACAACATACTGGAGAAGTTTGACATAATTTTTTCTTTCATTTTTTTTTTATTTTGTTTATTTAACATTTTTATTTTGTTTTCAATTTATGTATTTTTATATCATTGTAATGTTTAAATTAATTTATTAATTTATTAAATATTATTTACACAGTATAGGGTAGTGATTGGTTAAGGTAGGATGATAGAAGCATTTTTTGAATTTCGAAGCAGGTTTCCATTGTGCTAATAATTATGCATAATAGCATTGGACAACTTCCTAGGGGTGTAATTGAACTTAAAAACACAGACCGCTAACAGGAGAAAAACTCATCAAAATTTTCTGTGATGATAAACCCTATAGGAAGACAGGTTATTTCCGAGAGACGCGTTCAAAATCCCCAGAGTCAGAACATATTCAGGGAAGCTGTTGCTGTGGTGAGGCAAAGAGTGAAGGAATTCACCTGTTGTGAAGTTAAGGACGCTGAATGTATAATTGTGGTTTAGTTTTTTTTTAAAAGCAAGCAAAATAATCATCCTAAAATCTGAAAAAAAGAAAACCTTAAAACATCAAATTAATAATATTAAAGTATATGTTAAAAGAAATGTATATCAAATTCCAATTATACATAGATTGAAACATGAATTACAGAGTTTTTTGATACAAAACTTGTAAACTGATTACTGTACTATCAAATTTAAGGTTCTATTTGTTTATCATTCCTTGCCACCATATGTCTTAAGTTTTCGAAATTTTTGCTTTTGGAAACAGATAGCCTATATATACAGTAAAATCAATTTTAAAAAGAAACACTTCTGAGAAGGGATTTAGTTATTCAAAAAACTAGTTAAACTTTTTGGAGCTTTACAGAGCTGTTTAATACAAAAACTTGATTACTTTAAAATTTAAGGGTCTATTACTTACGTGTAGTTCATTCATCGAACTCCTGGCTTTATACACACATATCCAACCAGTCATTTATTACTTACGTTTTAGCATTTTGGGTACTGTAGGCCTATATATAAATCGTTTTTAAAAACACTTAACCCGAGAAGGGTTTATAAGGTAGCTTTTATGGATCTTTACAGCGCTTTTTTTTTATACAAAAATTTATATATTGATTACTATCAAATTTAAGGGTCTATAGGTTTATACATGGAACTATCTCCTTGCTTTCTATATCCAACCATCATTTATTTCATAAGTTTTAGCAATCTGCTTTTGAGTACATACATAATATTATATCATAAAAAAAACAAAAACAAAAAACACTTAACCGTGAAGGGATTAAATTTAAATTCAGAAACTAGGTTAGCTTTTATGGAGGAAGTTTAATATAAATATAGGATGAACTATATAAAGACGGATTTCTACAGATGGCTACCAATATCCTGACAATTAAAATAAAAACTGAATCCAAATCTCTGCATGTTGTATAACTACCGTAAAACCTTGAATCGAAGTCCAATGGTCTTAATCTTGAGTAGAAGCCCATCAGCCATCCCCCTCCCCTGTTTAGTTTGCAATATTATTATTTCAAAGTTTTACTGTATTATTTTTGGCTAAATTAGATAATATAATATAAAAATAATAATCTTCTGAAACAATGCAAGTTTCTCATTGTGCTCTGAAGCTTTCCCATTAAAGGTATTTCCTTATTATTTCTTACTCCAAATTTCATTTACATACCCTTAAAACTGTACTATTAAATTATTTTGTAAAAGATCGATTCAAGTTTCGCTTTTTATACTTTCATCAGTTTTCATATCCTCAGACATAACAGATCTAATTGGTTTGTAGATATCGTTGCTGATATTCATATTTTTTAGAGAATATTGTGTATGCTTACCAATAAACCCTCCCCCACCTACTTCACCCCCACCCCACACCCCAGTTGAAAATATCTGAATCTAAAACAATCAGGCTCAAGTAGTTAAAAATCCCCACATATCACCTTGTTTTGCAAGGTAGGGCCCTTTCACTTATTCATTGAGCCCCTACTTTATCTTCGCACTCCCCAATCATCCCCCACTCAATTCAAAGACTCTTACACGTTACTGCACAGTTAAAGGTTAGGCCATATAATGCGTTCAATTTGAACTTTGAAGGAATAAGGTGCAAGGTTTCCTTTACTGAGCAAGAGCACCTACTCATTCTATTTTAAGCCATGTTTTCATTGCTTATTAACGAGATCCACATTTTCGGAGCAAAGTACTGCACTCTGCTCTACTTCTATCCCTTAAAATGTTGTGCTACTGAAAAACGTATACTGCCTTTTCTTGTCCTTCGGACAGACTTGCTAAGCCTTTCATCCGGTTTGCATATAAGCCTCTACAGATGAAATATATATATTTTTTTTTACATGTAACACAGTTGTCACTATCTTTGTGTGCAATGATTATTCGATATTATTGTACAAGGCTGTGTATATGTTGCATTAGTAAAGAGAATTGATATAGACATACGATAGTGAAAAATTCTTATGTTTTGCCAAAGTGGAAAAATTAATTATGGAAAGAAACAAATTCAAGGCTTTTTGTCAAACTTTGGAATAATTATCTATCAAATATTCAAAGCATTACAAGTATGAATTTCCGTCAAGTTTCTTTGAAGAGCATGATGTCGTAAAAATTTTGTTACCTAGAATTGATTCAAAGAATTAACATTAACAGTCCTTATCTTTAATGGGCATCCAGTGGTGGATCCAGGGTGGTTCAGGGGCCTCGGACGAATCCCCCCTTTGTAAACAAAATACTATTGCATCCTGGCTTACAAAATGCATGCTAACCTATTTATGCATAGGTTGGCAGATCGGACAAACTAAAGTAAGCCCAACTAGCCTCAAATTCAATAAAATTGAAAACAGTTTTTGGTTCGACGTCATAATATTTTATTACGAATGTGCGTTCTTTAGGCCTATCGGTTCATCGATACATGGAAGAAAGACTACATATCCAACAACTCAATATTGTTGGAATATAATAATATATTGCCTAGGCGTAGGCTATGTTTTTTTTTTATCCAGACCCCCCTTTAAATTTGGGTTTTTTTCGAAATATTTTGAACCCCCCAGGGGCGGATTTAGTGGGGGGACCGGCCCGGCCCCAGCCCCCCCTAAAAAAAAAAAAAGAAAGAAAAACAGAAAGAAAAAGAAAAAACGATAGCCCAGAACGCCTCAAATGTTATTTTCGGGCATCTAAAACACAGAAATTTCGCGGGGGCATTCCCCCGGACCTCCTATTTCAGTGTTGTCTCGATCGGCCCAAATTTCAGCCCCCGCTTTTGGACATCTCTGGATCTGCCCCTGCTATATATCTATTAGCTATTTTACCAAAGGAAACTAAGAGTG